GTCTCTCCTTTCCCCTAGTTCACTGCCCTATCTTTGCTTTCTCTTCTCCTCCCCTCTCCCATCTCCTTTCTCCTCTCTTCCTGGTGCATAACTGGCAATTTGCATACATTTTACCAGGGAGAATTATTTTAATAAGCAGGAGGTCTGGAGGCTGCTAGGGCACCCAGCTGATGGACAGTTCTGCAGGTGCTCTGGTGAATTTTAGGTTATTTTCTTTTTAAAAGGGAAGAGAGGGAAATAAAAATGCCCATAACCCCTCCCCCAAGTGATGCCCAGATCACCTGTTGATTTGAAAAAGCATCCCTAGAAAATAAAGGTTGGTCTCCTGTACAGCCTCATAGCTCTCATTTGCAGCTTCCTTCTTTCTCTCCATGGCTTGTACCATTTCTCCATGGCAACTGACTCCTTTTTCCCCTTTAAATCTGGCTCTTGACTCCCACAAATGAATTGTCAAATAAGGGCACAGTATTGGTGCCTTCAGTTCCACTAGAATGGTTCTGGTGGGATGGAGTGGGGTAGGGGGGATCCTCACCCTCTTGATCTTTGGGGGCATACTCCTGTTAAAAGTTGCATTTACAGCCCTACTCTAAGTGTAACTGAGGACCCATGTGCCATCCAGCTGCACCACAGATCAGGAGATGCACAGAGGTGATGATTTCTCTAGCTGTATTCTCTCAAGTGAGTAGAGTGATTGCATTTTCAACATAGATTCCCTGTCCAGTGCTACTTCTGGCCAGTGACTGCTATGCTATTTCTCCTTGTGTCCTTTCCTGCTTTTGCCTATCACATTGAAATTGCCTCTGCCTTTTCCAGGGTCTTCTGTTCAGTGGAATAGTCCATTCTTGTTCTGTCTTAGTTTTGTCCTAATTATAAACCTGCACACAGGATGGTGACATATTATTTTCCTCTGATAAGCACATGCTCCCACAAAGCCTGCCAAGCCATGAGAGATGATAAATGGTATCAAGCGCCACAAGTAATTTAAGATTGCTGTTGTACTTACAGCAAAACTCCAGCAGATGGCAAAAGGATCCAGATTATTTCTCACCTGATACTTCTATGCCAGACTATTGTGCTAATGATCTTGAATTAATATAGCTTCTTCCAAACAATTTATTCCATATTCTTACTGATATATATCTTTCTAGTTGGGCATCTTGTAAAGGACATTTTATCGAACTGAATTTATGTGGGGAATGGTAGGTAGGCAGAATATAATTACCCCTCGCCTTCCTGTCCATTACAGCTGCATTGTGGCATGCGGCTGAACTAGAGTACAGTGAGCACAGGATGTGTCAGAAACGGCTTCCCATCAGAAATTGACACTGAGAATGTACCATTTTTTGTCTCCCAATCAAAACATGCATTCCTTTTTTCATGGGCATAAGGGTAGTAAATGTCAGAATTTGCTGTACCTCATCTTTCCACATCGCTGATCCAGGGGTTGCAAATCCTGTTGGATGGTAGCTTCAGTGCCAACATTTGCAACCCTCAGCTGTATTCACTGGATTTTAATTTCAGAAGTGCATAGTATTTTCTATTTCAATATTTCAAAAATGTACAAAATATTTTAACTAAAATAATTATTAAATTTAAAGTTTTATGTTGTTTGTCACAGGTACATTAAAATATAAATTTGGTAAACATTAATTTATATTTCAACTGCAGAATTTCAAGAAACTGAAAAAATATTTATCTTAAAATTATTAAACAGTAAATTTGAGTTGTTCAGTCCCATGTGTATTACAATATACATTTCTATAGCTATCACAACTCTGTACACTTTGTGCAGTTGTACTTTTTCCACTTATTATTTAAGGTGATATTTTGAGTGTTTCTCTCCAGAAGACAGGACATGTGCCCAATTGCAGGATTCATACACTACCTTATAAAAGTAGTCAGGTGTCATTCTGATGGGTTCGGACACAGAGATCTCCTTGGGACTGTCACCTGATGTGCTGAAATTACCTCTGAGCCTGTTTTCCCTGCCAGCTTGGGACTCCAGAACCCTGCCTCGTTGAGCCGGACACACTAACCTGCTGCAACACAGACCCAGGTGTGGTCCATGCCCCCAAAGGTGCAGACTTTAACTAAAAACTGCTCAGCAAGTTACCTATCTCCAGCACCCAGACACCCAGCTCCCAATGGCACCCAAACCCCAAATAAATCCGTTTTACTCTGTATAAAGCTTATACAGGGTAAATTCATAAATTGTCTGCCCTCTATAACACTGATAGAGAGATATGCACAGCTGTTTGCTCCCCCAGGTATTAATCACGTACTGTGGGTTCATTAATAAACAAAAGTGATTTTATGAAGTATAAAAGGTAGGATTTATGTGGTTTCAAAGTAATAACAGACAGAACAAAGTAAGTCACCAAACAAAATAAAGCAAAAACACACAAGTCTAAGCCTAATACATTAAGAAACTAATTACAGGTAATATCTCACCCTCAGAGATTTTCCAATAAGCTTTTCACAGACTAGACTCCTTCCTAGTCTGGGCCCAATCCTTTCCCCCCGGTACAGTCTTTGTTAGATCCAGCAGACATCTCAGGCATAGGCGCCGTCTTCCCCTTTGCCCGGTTGGTCACTTGACCCCCGCCCCTTCTCTGCCTCTTCCCGCCCCTGCACAGCCCTTGCCCCATTCTGCCCCTTCCCCCAAGTCCCCGCCCCCATTCCACCACCTTCCCCCAAGTCCCCACCCCGCCCTGCCTCTTCTTCGCCTCCTCCCCGAGCACGCCCCGTCCCTGCTCCTCCCCCTTCCTCCCCCAAAGTCCAAAGCGCCACCAAACAGGGAGGGAGGGGGAGGAGTGGGGCGTGGCACGCTCAGGGGAGGAGGAGGCAAGGAGGGGGTGGGGGAGCTTGGCTGCTGGTGGGTGCTAAGCACCTGCTAATTCCCCCCCACCCCCCCGTGGGTGCTCCAGGGCGGAGTCGGCACCTAAGATCTCAGGTGGTAAGCAGGGGTTTTCTCATGACTGCCACCTCTTTGTCCTGCTCCACCCCCTTTTATAGCTTTGGCACAAGGCGGGAATCTTTTGTGTCTCTGGGTCCCCACCCCTCCTTCTAAATGGAAAAGTACCAGATTTAAAATGGATTTCATTATCAGGTGACATAGTCACATGTCACTGTAAGATCCCTAGTCTCCATGCCCCCTGGGCTGGCCCACATGTACACAGGAAGGCTTTCAAGTAACTAAGGCCATTTACAACTGATTGTTTCTGCAGCATCCTTAATGGCCTCCACTTAATATGTTTATATCAGTGGTACAAGTTTATATCTTATTCTCCTAACTCCAGATATAGAAATAATACATGCAAACAAATAGGATGAACACACTTAATAGATTACAAGCTTTCTAATGACACCATACAAAAAGCATATTCCAGTTATGTCATATTCATAAGCATCTTTCCATAAAGCATATGGAGTGCAATGTCAGAGTCATTTTAATTTATTAAAAAGCAACAGAGGGTCCTGTGGCACCTTTAAGACTAACAGAAGTATTGGGAGCATAAGCTTTCGTGGGTAAGAACCTCACTTCTTCATCTGAAGAAGGACCCTCTGTTGCTTTTTACAGATTCAGACTAACACGGCTACCCCTCTGATACTTTAATTTATTAATTATTCAAAAAAACATTTAACTTAATTCATACATGAGTATAAAATATTATTTTACTGAACATTGGCTAGAATTAATTTCTATGAATTTCACTTTCTAGATGGCTATAACCTGTAATCACATTATGGCTCTTACAGATGTGTGTGAGGTATTTATTCGTGTGGTGATATTACCACAAACCTGATCCTTATCCAGGTTATTCCACCGTGTCTATGTTACTGACCATCATATTTGTTTTTAATCTAGGAAGTCATTTTATGTTTCCTTAACTGCTCTATTATATGAGGGGGGGAGGTGTATTCTCCTTTTTCCCTTTCTTACCATCAGCCCCTCCAACATTAGGAGAGGTGTGTGTGAAATATTTCACTGGCCTGGTCTACACTAGGACTTTAATTCGGATTTAGCTGCCTTAATCCGAATTAACCCTTCACCCGTCCACACTACAGAGCCAGTTAATTCGAATTAAAGGGCCCTTTAAATCGATTTCTGTACTCCACCTCGACGAACGGAGTAGAGCCTAAATCGATTTTGTTAATTCGAATTAGGGTTAGTGTGGACGCACACCACCGAATTACTGTGTTTAAGTTAATGGGGTAGTGTGGCCGCACACCACCGAATTAATGTGGTTTAAAACCGAATTAAGGTGCTTAGTGTGGCCGCGCACAATCGAATTTATACAACCTGTTTCCCAAATTCGAATTATCTAAATTCGGATTAATCCTGTAGTGTAGACATACCCACTGAATCAAGTTTCTTTCAACATCTCAGTGCATTGTTTCAGATAGAGAAGGGCAGCCTCATCTGGGCTTTACACTACACTGTGCCTTTCCCACACAGCTGTAAGAAGGGAATGCTTACATCAGGGCTTAAATTCTTATAATTTCCCAGAGCGCCCCCGCCCCCAACATGCTACCAAAAAACCCCTCCAGGAAGGTTGAAAATATTTCCTGGAGCTCCGCTCGGGACAGCTCTGAAGCCCAGGTTGGGAAAGGGATGCACCATGCAATGAGGAACGCAGCCCCTCTGCCACCTGCGCCGGTGCGCCTTATCCTGGCCACCACTGCAGAGGGCTCACCCCATATACAGTAACTTTTACCCGCTCTGCCCCTCTCTCTCCTGGGGTCTCTCGCCTCTGCCACCCCCTGGCAACCCTCTCCCCCTTCTCAACACCCTCTCGCACCCTGTCCCTGCCGTCGCCTATCTGCCCCCTCCTCTCCCTCCCGCCCCCTCCATCTCCATTGGCCCCTGGACCCGTGCTGCCCCCTCGCAGCTCCCAAAGCAGATCGTGACGGCAAGGAAGGGCAACGTCAGGGCAAGGCCTTCAGCCGATGGCACCGGGCATGCGCAGATCGCTGGCGCGGCACGCGCAGGAGCGCCCGCTGCGCTGACGGAAGGCCGTTTGTGACACTGACGAGTGTAGGAGGCCCGGCGGCGGGGATGCGCGTGCCTCGGGCGGAGTGAGCGGCCCGCGGGGCGGCGATGGCGACGGCGGGGGGTTCGGGCGGGCCCCCGGAGGCGGCCCCCGCGGCGCTGCAGCGGGAGCCCGTGTATAACTGGCAGGCCACCAAGGGCTCCCTGCAGGAGCGCTTCGCCTTCCTCTTCACCAACGAGCTGCTCAGCGACGTGCGCTTCGTGGTGGGCAAGGGCGGCCCGCGGCAGCCCGGCGGCGGGGGGCCCCCCGGGCCCGGCCAGCAGCGCATCCCCGCCCACCGCTTCTTGCTGGCCGCCGGCAGCGCCGTCTTCGACGCCATGTTCAACGGTGGCATGGCCACCACCTCGGCCGAGATCGAGCTGCCCGACGTAGAGCCCGCCGCCTTCCTGGCGCTGCTCAGGTCAGGCCGGGGCGGGGTGGGAGAGACCCGGCAGGGGTGGGACCGGGGGCTGAGGAGAAAGGCGGGGGGCTGCCCGAGTGCCGGGTTGGAGCGGGTTAGCCGCTGGCGTTGCGTCTTCATCTTATGCTGCTGCCCTGAGCGCCGACAGCAGCTGGCGGGTTGATGCGTGTGTCCTTGCACTGGCCCACGGCCCTCTCTGATCGCTGTGTGGGGCTGAGGAGTGAGTGACATTGCTTGTAAACCAGCCGGCTGCAGAAGCCCTAATTATATCCCCTCATGGCTGCTGGTGCCTGGCCCTCTTGTCCTCTCTCCATCTTGCACCTATGCCTGCTTGCTGCTGCATTTTCCTTCGCCCTCTTTCCCCCCCCCCCTTGTTCTCTTGTCACTGATTCAGCATGCTTAATGTATTCGTGACCTGTTTGTACCTGGCACAAAACAGATATAAACCAGGCAAAGCCATCGTCTGGTCTGGCAAACAAGGTTAAACTGTCAGTTCCCTGCACAAGAACTTTGTGGTTTTGGACTCGTCTTTAGTTTTGGACCCTCCTTAGGCTTTATTTGGAGTTGCCCGTTGTGCAAATTATTTTTATACCTTCCCCGCGAAGAAAATGCTTGCTTCAGGAGAATTACGTGTCCTTACAAAGGGATTGCTTTTGAAGCAAGACAGTGGGAGATGTAGTTTAATAATAGATCTCTTCTGTGTGTGTTGCAATTACTTATTTCTAAATAATGCATAAAGGAAGAATTGAGTCTGCTATACTGTGTTGTTTATTGATTTGATTCATTGATTTGATTCTTCTTGGGTCAAGTAAAAAAAAATGCTTCTTGGTGTCAGATCATCATTTTTCTTGCTTCTATTCTTGTTTATTAAGTGATTATTCACCCATAGGCTGTCTATGATCTCTGGCAATTGCACAGATTTCAGGGTGGGGAGGAATGATCATAATCAATTTCAAACCTACACAAAACTAGCCAATTTGAGGTCTAGGTGGCAATTGTCAATGGCAATTTATATGAGGGAAAAGGTTATATTGTACATCAAGGTTATTACTGAGAATTGATAACTTGAATAAATTGCAGATAACTCTTAAAATACTGTTGAAACTGTTCAATTAGGCTAAACTTTTTATAAAATATAAAAACTGATTAAAATCCCAAATTTCATAGAAATGTAGGGCTGGAGGATAATTTCTTGAAGTTCTAAGTCCAGACCCCTGCACTGTAGCAGGATCTAGTACACTTAAACCATCCATGACAGTTGTTTGTCCAACCTGTTTTTAAAAAAACTTCCAATGATGGGAATTTCACACCTCCCTTGGAAGCCTATTCCAGAGTTTAACCATCCTTAATGTTGGAAAGCTTTTCCTATGATCTAACCCAGGGGTGGGCAAACTTTTTGGCCTGAGGGCCGCATTGGGTTTTGTAAATTGTATGGGGGGTTGTGGGCCGGCCCCCACCTCCTATCTACCCCCCCCCGGGACTCGTGCCCCATCCAACCCCCCTGTTCCCTGATGGCCCCTCTGGGACACCTGCCCCATCCACACACCCCCGCTCCTTGTCCCCTGACTGCCCCCGAACCCCCGCCACCCCATCCAACCCCTCCTCTCATTCCTGATGGCCCCCCCTCCTTCCTGACTGCCGCCCGGGACCTCTGCCCCCATTCAACCCCCTGTTTCCCCTCCCGTCCACCATCCACACCCCCGTCCCCTGACCACCACCGTGACCTCCCTTGCCCTCTATCCAACCCCCCCGCTCCCTGCCCCCTTACTGCACTGCCTGGAGCACTGGTGTCTGGCGGTGCTAGCCCGGCTGCTGCCACCACCACGCTGCACAGAGCACCGGGTCAGGCCGGGCTCTGCCGCTGTGCTGCCCTGGGTGCTTACAGCCGCACCGCCCAGAGCATTGTGCCGGCGGCAGAGCGAGCAAGCTGAGGCTGCGGGGGAGTGGGGACAGCAGGGGAGGGGCCAGGGGCTAGCCTCCCAGGCCAGGAGCTCGGGGCCCGGGCAGGACGGTCCCGCAGGCCGTAGTTTGCCCACCCCTGATCTAACCTAAGTCTCCCTTGCTGCAGATTAATTCCATTACTTCTTGACCTTCAGTGGATGTGGAGAAATCAATTACTGTTGCTTTATAGACTCATAGACTTTAAGGTCAGAAGGGACCAATATAATCATCTAGTCTGACCTCCCGCATGATGCAGGCCACAAAAGCTGACCCACCCACTCCTGGAATAATTCTCTCCCTTGACTCAGCTGTTGAAGTCCCCAAATCATGATTTGAAGACTTCAAGTCGCAAGAGCCCTTAAGAATTTTGAGAGTGTTTTCAGGTCCTCCCTCAATCTATTTGTAATGGAATACAGTGGAGCTGGTGTAGGTCCTCCTTCACAGTCAAGGTTTGGGAGAGAAAGTTATTGATTTAGGAGACTTCGGCATTGAAGTAGTACAAGACCTCTAGAGTAGAGTGGGGACATCCTGCCTTTTACACTAGGAACCAATAGAGACAAGCCATGAAGGGTGAAGAGAATGGGGCACCTGCCCATACTCTTAGCCAGGAGTTTCCTTCTGCCAGGTGTGGACTTTTAAAAGCCCCATCTCCTGGGAGGAACAGCAGAGTAGAGCAACAGCTGACCTTTGCTCTCCTCATTCACTTGAGGATATTAGTAGAAGATCCTCTTCCTGCTCCACAACTGACTTGGGCTTATAGCCCTAAACTCCAGTCATGAGTAAGGCTACGATTTTATCATGGAGGTCACGGAAGTCACAGAATCCATGACTTCCAAAGACCTCCATGACTTCAGCCCACAGGCGGCTGGGAGCTGCAGGGTCCCACTGCCGCCCGAGACAGCGGAGCCTCCGGGCTCTGAGGTGACGGGAGTACCCCGCAGCTCCCAGCCGCGGCGGGGGAGGGGGGAGCTCCTGCAGCTCCTGGGCACTGGGGGGCTCTAAGTGGCCAAGGGGGGAACCCCAAAGCTCCTGGCTGGGGCCCCCCCCAGCTCCCGGCCTCTGGTGGCGGGGGACCCTGCAGCTCAGGGCAGCGGGGGAGGGGGACCCTGGAGCTTCAAGCCCCCATGGGTGGTTGGGGGCCCCTGGAGCTCCCAGCTACGCCCCGCAGCTGCCTAGCAGTTCCCCATTTTGTGATGGATATTTTTAGTAAAAGTCAGGAACAGGTCACGGGCTTCTGTGAATTTTCCTTTTTTGCCCATGACCTGTCTGTGACTTTTACTAAAAATATCTGTGACAAAATCTTAGCCTTAGTCATGAGGGAATGGCAAAACTGGGTAGGCGCTAGTGTACAGGGAATAGGTAAAGGTGTATGTTGCAGACAAAATGTTGGTTCTCATGTTAAGAGAATGAAAAAGCTGTATATGCAAGGTTTTTTAAAAGAGCAACAGCCATAGTTAGAGGTCAAATTTAAGTAGAAAAA